AGTAGTCTTTTAAGTTTAAAAAAAGTATTGATATTCATGAATAAAATCCTGTAAACTTATCTTCAACCTATCATCCAAAGTCATAATAAACAGTTTACATAATAAACATTATTTTAATAAAAGATATTAGCCTTTCTTCTTATTCTATTCAATTGTGTCCAAATCTCAGAGACTGCCTTGTAAATAGTTTCTTATTAAATCAAATCTTGTCCCTCTTTAGGTATTAATATTATATTAGCTTCTTTCCAACTACCAGGAATCTTTCTATTCTATAGGATAATATTCATATTTGTTGTAAAAGCTGTAACAGCCTATCCTCACCCTAACTCTCAAAACATTTTTTATAAGAGGTTAGCAACCCATCTGGCAGTTTCACAATTTCTTTAGTGTTAAAGGTCATTTCAAAATTGATCTCTGATTCTTTGTGAACTACAGTAAATCCTTCCTGCAGATATCACCTACTTTTTCTGAGGAAATTTCTTGGCCTTTGTATACATAAGCAGTATAACAGAATGAAACAATTTTTGCATATTTACATTATCTATTATTGCAGTGTATATTTCTTTCTGGTAAGTTCAATAGCACTTTCTTTTTCTTTTTGCAATTTGTTTATTTGCAAATTCATTTATTTGTTTTATGTAGTTCATCTTTATTTTTACCTCGCTCACTGTTAATATAGATTGCAGTTGCCTCTGTAAAAACTTAATTTGGTGAGTCATCCCGGGGGATTTTTAAGATTCTTCTTCCTTTTTAAATCTCATCCAAAATCATTTGCATTTTCTTTCTCGTCTTAAATTCACTCTTGAGTACAAATTATTCCCTCAAAAAAAAAGCTTCAATTGCATCCCAAACCATCCTTATTTCTGTACTTTTATTAAGATTATTCTCAAAAAATTCCTTTAACTTTTTTTTACAATCCTTCATATCATTTCTTTTTGTGACAATATCCCATTCAATCTCCACCTAAATTATTATTTTTTATTTTAAAAGTTAAAGTCATTGGATTGAGATCTGAAAAAGTATTTGGTAAAATTTCCACTTTATAAATATTTTAGCCAAAGTCTTAAATATACAGATCATAATTATTCTTGAAAAAGATCTGTATGTCAGAAAAATAAGTATATTCTTTTGAATCATAATTTTATATATCTATGCAGCAACAAACTCCAAATTATCCATTAAATAATTTAAAAAACCTTGGTTAATTTATCCTAATATTTTTAATTATTATGATTCAAATAATGCAATATTTTTTCTTTTCTAAGGAGCATTTGCCCTATTTATTTTCCATTTATAATTAGCAGTTAAATCAAAATTTGGGAAAAGTTAGTATGTGTAGTGGCCAGTCTGAAATTCTCTTCGGTGTGTTGCCTTGGGTAAGACAAATCTCCCAAAGCACAAATAATTATTAATGGAGAATTAGCAAAAACTTGTGAGATTCAAAAAAAGGGACAAGACAAGGATGTCATTTTTCTTTTTTCTTTTTAGTGCAGAGAGAAGACATTACAGCAAATAGAAAAACTAATGGGAAATTAAAGGACTTTGGTATGTTGACACATTTTAGATTAATAATCAGAAGAAAAAGATATTAAGAAAATATGAAATTAGAAGATCAAGTAGAATTGATGGAAAAAACTGGTTTGAAGATTAAGAAAAAAGTTAAATACAAAGTATATGTCATTTAAAAATAATTAAGTTAAGGCATGGAATGGAATGAAATTAAGGAGAAAATATTGTCATTGTCATTGTTGTCATTATTGTCATTGTTAGGGAGATTCTTTATAATAATGAATGTAATGCCAATAATAAGGTTTTGTTTCAGACAATACCTGTTATGAAAACTGATGTACATTTTAAATAATGGCAAAAAGTTATATTTATGTTTATATGACAAGGGAAATAATCACAAGTTAAATATAAAGGTGTTAAAAGATGCAAAAGAAAAGAGAGGATGGAATATAGGGGATTTGAAATTGTATTTTGCTGCCTGTTGTTTGGTCTGAATAAAGAGTGGATGTTGCTGAGAAACTTTTAGAGAGAGAAGAACTAAAGATTTGGATGGCATGGATATTTATGTTACAGTAAAGTTAAATTAATGTGGATTGACCATTTTATTAGAAATCCTGAAAATCAACGGTACTCATAGACACCTTATGGATCTCAGCTCAAGAAACATATAATAGAAGAAAAGAGCAATCAAGAACAATATATGGAAGGTTGGAAAAACATCATGAGAATTTAAGAGTCCAGTTAATAGCAGAAATGTTTGTCCCATTTACAGATATCAGAAAGATTCAAAAAGTACAAAACAAAAATATGACACAAAGCAAAATAAGGCAGAATTTGAAATACACCTGTATAGTGATGCAGAATATATAATTATTAAATTGTATAATATTTTGTTAAAATTTGAAACAGAGGTAGAAGTAATTTAAAAAATGAAATATATGATCGTAAAGTGATTTCTTTAAAAATAAGATGATATGTATCGGTAGAGAAATGATGTAGAATGCATAAAGACTCTTCAAGTGTATGTTGGAAATTAGACCAAGATGAAGATATATTTTAATATGATTGGTGAACATATTAAAAAACTAAAAAAAATGGATTCAGGTACAATACAGAAGATTTTAATGTTTGTATTTAACTGAAGTCAGAATTCTTCCTTTTAGGACTAATGGATAAACTGAAATGAATTTGTGATTTATGGCTTTGATTATTAATCAGGAAAATTTACAGAAAGGAAAATCTGATATAACTTTAGACATAACTGCTATGAAGAATATCAGAAGCCACTTCTTTGTATTTTTCTTTCTTTGTATTTTTTCAACTTTTTTTCTTTTTTTGCACCTTTTGTTCTTTCTTTTATTTTTTTCATTTTTTCATCCTTACTTTATATTAATGTGTATTTGTTTTTATCTTTTTTGAAAGTTTCAGTAAAAAATTAGATACAAAAAATGGGGCTATATTCTCGGGAATGTGTTATGGACTCTAGTTAAACGTAGCCACAACTCATGAACAGTTTTTTTTCCTAAATCATTTTGGAATACAAAAATTTGATACAAAATGATCAATTGGAGAAGGTACATGGAGTGAAACCCATTGCTGTCAATGGACTGGAAATTAACAATTTATAGCAAAGTGTACAGATAGGCATTAAGAAGTGCCCACAAAAATCTTTGTTATGAAGACATACAAAGACACAGATCACAGGTAAAAGGGATACCTAGAATGCTGGATGTGAATGTTATGAGGAACATATCAAATTTTCTTCTTAGCTCTAAAGAGTGCCACAAATTAGAACCATAAGCAAAAGAACTGTCCAGGGAGAGGATCTGCATAGCAAAGTTCATAAAGCTAGAGCCAAAAGAAACATTTCACCATGATTCTAGCAACCAACAGGCCCTACATTGAAAGGACTGTCTCGTAAGTGCATTCGACCAAACCAAAATCCTTTTCGCAGTGTTAGAAATGCATATTGTTTTGCATGCTCTGTTGAACTAAATGAATAAATTGATTTCCTTTACAATGGTACAGATATACAAGACTGAAACAGACATTTTCTCCATTTGTGCTGTAGAATTGGCCAATAATATGCTGTCGCCTGGTAATATGCCAGTAAGAGCACAACAAAGCTGAAAGGAACAACACCCTGTTTCTCTTATCACACACATAAATAGGACAACACCAAACAGAAGTGGCTTGGAACAGAGACCAGCGAGGCAAAATAGAAGTTGGCAATGAGGGACAGCAAGTCTTAGCTGGGTATGGTCTGGGAAGAGAAAGATCTTCAACCAAGCACTGGAAAAAAGAGCAAAAGGAAGGTAATTTACGTATCGCATTCAGGTTTGCTTAAGAGTCTTTTTTTTAAAAAAGGTTTCCAATGTTCTGAGCTGAGATGGTAGGTTGCTTTTCCCCCCCATCTCTCTCTGTTCCTCCTCCTCCTCCTCTTTATGAACTTTCTTGACTCATGCAATTTGCCCTCACTGGAAAGCTTGCCCTGGAAAGTGAGGTGTGAGTAATTGTAAGTCATCTTGCAACAACTGTGGTGGGGTTTGATTTCTTGTCACATGATTTAGAAAAATGCATCCTCTTTGCTGAATTAGGTTATGTTCTTGAGGACCAAATTGGTCAAATGAAACTTTACTGGCTTCTGCATCTTGGTTCATTCCATGTTGGAAGGTTGGGTTTACTTTGAGATGGGGAGGACATAAAGGGAAGGTTTCTGGTACACTTCTGCCAAGCTTAATTCTCCCCAAGCCTCTGATCTTGCATCATTCCATGTTCTTTAGCATTTTTATGATGAACGTGCACAGATATATGTTGTCACTTTTTAACTGCTGGCACAATTATCACATGGAATGTGTTATGGAAATCATTGCCAACTGTGAAGACTTCTGAGGCAGCAGCATGTCAATTTATAACTGGCACTGAAAATTTGCAAAAATTTGTAAAATGTGCCTCCATTGGTGGAGAAGCATCTCACAATGTGTAGAGTGTCAAAATTGTCATGCAGATTCCAACGAAGAATTCTAGCCATCAGAAACACCAAAGAAAAGAACAATAACCATTACATAAATTGGAGAATCAGAACTGTAATTTATTCCAATCCCCCCCCCCACTTTATTCTTTTTCTTTCTTTCTGTATGTGAAATACAGAACATATTCAACCACAGTTAGTTGCTTTGGAACAGAATACAGATTTTCACATACCCGTTAATATGGATGTTGGTTTCCTAATAACCTGTTTCTAAATTGAGAGGAAGGGATGTATAGGTATTGATTAAGATGACTGTTTCTCCCAGAGGATCCACAGGTGGGGTGAAAAAAGTCTTCGTGGTGACCACATTTAGGCTAATGAAGCCCTGCCTCCTTTTTTACATGTATCACATCTGTGATAGACATACGGCAGCAGATATCATTGCATAGAAATAACCACCACCTTCATTACCTTAATTCTCCCATTGGAGGGCCTTTATCCTCATTATCCTCATCAGGGTCTCAGGATTTCCAAGGTATTATGGAGGAATATACGGCAACAACTGAAGCCATGCTCCTCTGCATTTTTCAGAGTCCACAGCATCATAGCTACTATCATGACTCATCCCTGTAACCAAATAAGCCAAACATTGCAGAAAGGCTGCTCAGATAAATAAAATAAAAGAATCATTGATTTGGGATGTTGAGTAAGGCAAACAACTCCATATACATTTCCAACAAACTCTACTTTCCCATGCACTGATAATGTTACCTAGCATGGTAATGAAACATACGTAGGATAACAATCAAACTCAAACAATTCAACAGTTCAATTCTGAGCTACATTATTTCCTACTGTTAGAATGGGAATAAGCTTTTAAGCCATGCCCCTTTCAATGAAGAGTAACCTACATCTCTTTGGTGTTGCTCTCTAACTGCTCTTCCTATTAGAGCTGTTTCGACGATCAGCTGTGCTAGGATCCCCCTCGTTGGCTTACTGCTTTGCCCAGGAGGCTTTCCTGAGGCCCAAGAGGCAAAAAAAATGGAGCACAGGGGGTGCTATGCAGCCCCCCCCCCCGCTCCGTTTTTGATCTCCTGGGCTTCAGGGAAGCCTCCTGGGAGCAAAAACGGTCTCCAAGGAGGCTTCCCTGAACCCTAGGAAGGAAAAAAATGGAACACGGTGGGGAGGTGCTGCACACACAAAAAACTACGCCCACCCAGTCACATGGCTACGCCCATCTAGCCACGCCCACAGAACTAGTAGTACAAATATTTGCATCCCACCCCTGCTGAAAATCATCACGGATCCACTGTTAGACCTCTTGCAATTTTCCTATTGAGAAAATAGATTGATAGATGATGTTGTTAATATGACTCTGCACTACATCCTACAACACCTTGAATCTCCAAAGACCTATGCAAAAGTCTTCTTTATAGACTCCAGCTCAGCATTCAATACCATCATTCCAGATATTCTTCTAACTAAACAAAACAGCTGGTTGTCGGGAGGAAAAAGAAAAAAGAAATACCGGTTCAGCTGAACCGGTAGCTGTTTTTCTTACTACCGGTTCAGCCAAACTGTAACATTTTTTACTACCGGTTTGCTCAAACCAGGCCCAACTGGTAGAATACCACCACTGGTTTTCAGGTGGGCCAGTACTAGCCTTTAAAAGGTCTTCATAGCTATAGATGTTAGAACAACCAGTCTGAAGTCATTCAGTTCCTTGATGAAAGGTTTCTTCGGCACTGGGAGAATAGTAGAGCATTTGAAGCAAGAAGGAACTAGCACATCTCTAGTGATTTATTGAAGATGCAGGTGAAGATGGAGGTCAGCTGGTCAGCACAAGCTTTTAAGCAAGAAAAAATTGTCTTTGAATAATAAACAAGAAGAAATGATCTTTTGGCCAGTTGGTCAGCACAAACTTTTAAGCAAGAAGGAGTTATTTAAACAGTTGCCTCAAATTTCTTTTCATAGGACTTGATTTCTAGTTGTTGGATCATATTTTTTGATCTTCCCTAAACCTATTCCAATTTGTCTGAAATCTTATTTAAGTATGGTTCTCAGAATTGGAGAAACAATTGAAGCATTGGGTTGTTTTTTTGACAGTATATTCCTGCCTTTTGATAGTCCTGCCTTTATCAAATAATTTTATTGGGTATTATTTTACTCGGCTTATATATTTTCTGAAAAAAAATATAACCAGAAATAGGTCTTGCTGAATTCAGTCCTGCTTATTTCCAGAATGGCAATGCAGTGGCTCAGTGGTTAAAACGTTGGGCTTGTCAGCTGGTGCGCTCCCATCCTAGCCCCAGGTCCGGCCAACCTAGCAGTTCAAAACATGCAAGTGTGAGTAGATAAATAGGTACCACTTTGGGGGGAAGGTAACAGAGCTCCATGACATTATGCTGGCCACATGACTGTGGAACTTTGAAACGGAAATATGCATCTCCCCCTGTCATTGGCAATGACTAGCGGAGTTCCGTAGGGATTCCTTTTATTTCCAGCATGTGTGAGATTGTAATCTTAGTTTTCTTTGCCACTTTAAATGTTTTGCTTTGAGAAAAGTGGAGTTTGAATAATGGAAAATAAATATATAAATAAAGGTAACATGCTAGTTAATCTGTGGTGGCACAGTGGTTAGAATGCTGTACTGCAGACTACTTCTGCTGACTGCCGGCGGCCTGCAATTTGGGAGTTCAAATCTCACCAGGCTCAAGGTTGACTCAGACTCCCATCCTCGCAAGGGAGATAAAATGAGGACCCAGATTGCTGGGGCAATATGCTGACTCTGTAAACTGCTTAGAGAGGGCTGTAAAGCACTGCAAAGCAGTATATAAGTCTAGGTGCTATTGCTATTGTTAAACTTTAAACTACATTAGATCTAATTGCGTTCATAGTGGACATATGAATCTACTAACATGTTCAGAGAAATAGAAAATACTGCTGAGTTAAACTGAGCTCTGAATACAGGTGAGTGTATGAGAAGACATGTATATGTGTAATTATACATATGGATTGTATATGCAACCTAACACATCACACTATTAAAGTGCAGAACTTTTCTTTCATGCTTATTGTAATTACCCATGCATTTCAATTTAGAAATTTTATTATAAATGTGACTGTTGTGAAATCTATTCTCTTTTCAAAATTTAGAATCAGTTTCTGTCAAGGCCTCTTTGCCACAACCTCTTCAAAAGCTGGGTTATCGCTTTCACACCATCTGGCCAAAGCTTTGTGGAGGGATTGTTTTGTTTTGTTTTTGCTCTACATACCACAAAAGCTTTTCAGAACAAGGTTTTGCAAAGGACAAAATAAGCTGTTAAATAAATAAATAAGCTGTTGGAAAGTTTTCAGACAGAAATGGCATATAAACCAGAATAAATTAAAAGTTGTTTAGTATTGTCTATGTTCCTTAGGAGTTTATGAGTCTTTACGAAATTCCCAACTGATTTGGGAAATGCTTCTATAGAAGGCGCACAGGGAGACAAACTACATATTACATTTAGATGCAGCTGATAAACTTTTAATGGACACCACCAGCAGCAGTGGGGAAGGGGATGCTTTTCCATGTGCAACCTAGCTCCCTATATGCGCAAATAAAGGTTTGCATTGCTCGCCTACCACTTGTGTGGTTCAGTTCCAATGGGCTGAGACTGGTGCCTGTCTGTGACCTGGGTGTTGGGAAGACATTGTTGTACCTTAGCAAATTATGCTTCATTACAAACTCAATTCCTCTGAGTTATAATACAACTCTTTATGAAAATACCCATGGTTTTTTTAGTCAAAGCCAGCTTCGTTTTGATAGTCAAAGAACACTTTAAGGACAGCTTTTACCACCGTGGCATTTAATGCCTGTAATTTTCCAACTCCAGTATTTGGATTGGGGATTTACAAGCATTAACTATCCTTTTTTCCTTCAGGGCTTAGGGGAGGAGAAGTCATCTCAGTGGCTACTTTCTTGTGAGGTTCCTAAGGGCTGCTGTCTCTTACTGTTTAATACTTACATGAAAGTCATTCTTCAGACTACAATGTGGTACCCAGCTCAGTTTTGATGCTCAGAACTTCACATTTCCACACCTAGCCTTCCTCAATATAGCCTTGATAATATGCCCTGATATGTGGAGGCTGCAAAGATCTGAATGGGAGCGAAGCAAGCTGAAATTATAACCAAACAAGGACTTCACATTCATAAAGCAAGAAGGCCTAAGATTTGGAGGTATTTCTTTGGAGGTATTTCTTTTTAAGAGCAACACCTGCTATATGGAACTACATTCTGGCTAAAGTTAGACTGCCCCTGTGATCTTTATTCAGACGATACTGAAGATAGATCTTTTGAACAACATTTGTTGATCAAGTAGATGCACTTAGAACTGGATGCTAGATATTAAACTTTGTTGTTTAAAATTGCTGGTGCCATTATTATTATTTCCTATATACCATATCATAGAATTTTTTTTATACTTTTTTCCTGTGGATGTTTTAATGATGTGTAATTTGCTGTGGACCAGTGTAGATCCTTGACAAATTCTTATTCTGCCTCAATAGTTACTCTGTCTGGGAATAAAACAGGATTCACGGATTCAATTCAGGTCAATAAATGGGTCTATATATTTTTTTTTCAGCAGGAGGAGACACAAATGTAAAATCAAACATTGCAAAATAAATGGAACTGTATGCAGGTTTCATTTTTGTGAAATAAATATATTAATAGATGTAGACTCCAATTCATTGATTACTAAGGAAAAATAGAAATGAAAAAGCTAAACATGCAACTTTGGAGAAGAAAGCAACATATAGGGATGCCTCATTTCTCTTAGCTTTTCTACATATCCTGTTTCCCCCAAAATAGGACTGGGTCTTATATTAATTTTTGCTACTAAAGGCACATTAAGGCTTATTTTCTGATTGGGTATTATTTTTGGGGAAATACGGTACTAAATGCGTCCGTCTGATGATCTTAAACGGGGCTTATTTTGGGGCAGGGCTTATATTATAAGCATCCCAAAAAGTCATGCTAGGTCTTATTTTCGGGGAAACAGTAGAAAGGTGTGATGTTGAGTGGCAAATCCCTCTTTTGGGGGATCCTTTCTTGGGAAGAAAAAGTCAGTGAGGCAATAATAGGGATTCTCAGCACCTCAATAAACTATATTTCTCATTGGAAGCCATGCAAGTAATCATAATATAAGCTTAAAGCCCAAAGAGACAACATAGGAATGCTGATCTATATATTCCTCAGCTTTAAAAATAACTTTAGGAGGCAAATTCCATCTCTAATGGCAATCCTACCCTGCTATTTTGTCAATCTATTGCATGTGTAAAATCAGTTCTTAAATAACAAATGAATACTTTGTTTAAATCACCTTGAGAAGCACTCTTGTTTAACTCAAATTGGGTCAGTTACACTTAGCAGTAATAAGCAAAGTTGAACAGCAGAGCTTTTGTGAAGGGAAAGCAAGGAAGAGGTGTTACCTTCTCTACCTCAAAGAAGGAAGAGCTTATTAACACCTTCCCCACATTCCTAATAATGAAACAGGCCTCTGTATTGTGTGGGTTAGAGTGGTATGTTTCTCTCCCACAATGCACACGAAGTATCAGCCTCCAATTAAGATCTAATTATCTGAGGC